GATATGAAGGTCCTCTTAGACGTGATGGAAGCATGTGCAGTTCAGTAAGCATGTCGCCAACAAATCCTGCCCAAACTTTAATTGAAAATCTTTGCTGGAAGCTGGATTCAGTTTGACATAAAGTCATTCATTGAAACTTATTTTTGGGTATTATTTAGGAAATGAAACATTTGCGACCCCATTTTCATAGGAACATTTTTTCTTATTTTTGATCCTGGAAAACGCACACGAAGTTTGTAAACATACTTCTTACTCACTCTGTGTGTGTGTATATATATATATATATACACACATATACACACACACACACTCTTCAAAAGTCATGGCAACTAATTTTTTGGGGGAAAACACGTTATATTGAAGAATGTTCAAAATATACATATGAAAGAGCACGATAGATTCCTCCGATTGGCGTAGTCAGATCAAGTAGGTGTGAATGGGTGTAGGTATAGTAGGAAAGAAAAAAGGCACATTATGGAAAGACAGTTTGTCCATTCTTTCATCCTTGAAAAATTCAACTGTGATTAAAAAAAATCAAAAATTCAATGTGAGTTAAATCGAAATTCTTACATTAAGACTAGCAACCTTCAAAGTAGTCTCAGAGTGTATCAAGTACTCGCTGTCAACGACGAGGAAGACGGCGAATACCATCAGCTTCACCATCTCCAAATCGTGTCATCTCGCGCCGAAATGAGTTGGAAATGTCCTCTCGTGTACGAATGCGTTTCCCTCACAATTCCCTCACAATGGATGTTTCAATTTGAGTATTAAGTCATTTCTGCAGAATAACTTACGTCGTGCAATTAGGAATAAACGTCCTGAACTGCTACACAATGTCATCGTCCTTCACGACAATGCAACCGCCCACACAGCAAAGAGTGTCAAGTGCCTTTTACGACGTTGGAGATGGGAAGTACTACACCATCCTCCACATTCATCCGATCTTTCGCCAGCCTCTCGACAGGAGGTGGTATTTCCCCAACCTCGATGGATGGTTATACCGGCATGACTCTGTTTGCTACAATTTAAAAATAAGGAGGGATTTAAGTCTCCATTGTGACAGGAATTAGGAACATGAGGTAATTATAATTTCAGTCACACACTCCTTCCTTGAAAAGAGAGACTAACCAACTTCAGAGGCGATTACACTGCTATTGTCTACGCCAGGACTGCGAAACATGCGTCCCGCAGGCTGCATGCGACCCAGGGGCGATGGGCTCAACAGCGCCTGGACCTTAAAACTTATTATTATTATTAAGTGTTCTGTCTTACGACAGGTCCATTGCTCTGCCCAAAAAGAGCTCTCTAGTTGTCCCTATTCTTGGCTTCTCGCTTTAATTCCTGGAACGTCATCTTCTTTCCTTGTTTAAAGTCGTCGGTTAGCTGTATCAATCTTCTTCCCAGTCCTCGCTTTCCTTCAACCTGGCCTTCGATGATATCACTCAGTAACCCATTCCTTCTCATAATATGTCCCAGCCAGTTAGTTTTCCTTCGTGTAATCGCCTGCAGAATGTTTCTTTGCTCGTTGACTCTCCTCAATACTTCTTCGTTGGTCACTCGATCCGTCCACCTGATGTTCTCTATTCTCCTCCAACACCACATTTCAAAACTCTCCAGGTATTTCTGTTCCTTCTTCCTGAGTGTCCAAGTCTCTGCTCCATACAGCGCGACACTCCATACGTAACACTTCAC